ATTTTCAAACGGATCGCAACAGATACTACACTTGATCGTCATCGTCGTCGTCGTTTTGGGGGGCGGGCAGTTAGTTAGTTTGGGGTGTCTCTCTCTCTCTCTCTCTCTATCTATCTATCTATCTATCTATCTATCTATCTATCTATCTATCTATCTCTATCTCTATCTATCTATCTATCTATCTATCTATCTATCTATCTCTATCTATCTACCTATCTATCTATCTATCTATCTATCTCCCTCCCTCTTGTGCGCGCGCCGTTTTTCAAACGGATCGGAACAGATACTGCACTTGATAGTCATCGTCGTCGTCATTTTTGGAGGCCGGGTAGTTAGTTAGTTTGGGCTCTCTCTCTCTCTCTCTCTCTCTCTCTCTCTCTCTCTCTCTCTCTCTCTCTCTCTCTCTCTCTCTCTCTCTCCATCTCTCTGTCTCTGTGTGTGTGTGTGTGTGTGTGTGTGGTGCGCGCGCACTTCCGCACGCCGTTTTTCCGGTTTTTTTTTTTTTTGAAAGAACCACCTTCCTCCAGTATATCACTGGCAGTTTTTTGTGAGTGCAGCACATCGTTGCGATGTCTTAGCAACACAAAACGAGGGTTGCGCTCGTTATAGGACTTAACCCAACATCTCACGACACGAGCTGACGACAGCCATGCAGCACCTGTATGAAGTCAAAGTACATCTCTTACGAGGAGTTTCTTTCATATGTCAAGGGTTGGTAAGAGGCTTTCTTTTACGTATGTATTGTATGGTCGGTCTTGTGAAGTTCAAACTCTTACAGTGGGTAGAACGCAAAGTAAGATAAGCGATTGATTACATAATAGAGGGGCACCAGTCAAGGCAACTTCGTTGCGAGTTCGAAAACAAAAGACAAAACCATAAAGACTCAGGATCCAACACCATAATAAGAGACTACCTTCATGATTCGACCAAGTTCCAGAAACTTTATAAAACAATGGTAATTGATTATTTGAATTTGTAAAAACGCTATAAATAGAGAAATCAGAAGAAACATAACAAAACAAAAAGCTAAAAAAACAGATGGTAATCAACGTAAATACAGAGAAGACGTTGCTTCGTGCCTTGCCACGTCTGGTCTGGTATCCCACCTACACCTCGCGTTCACGAACTCCCCGTTCAACTGCATCTCGGAGACACGGTCGGAGATCTTCCAAGGACTGGCTAAATCCAGTGATCTCCTTTCACGACAGGCTATGGTCCCCGGAATGAGTTTGTCATTCCAGGTGTCTTTCATGCATGCTCCACGCATGAAATAAGTCGTGTCCGTCTCGTTGCGGACATCTGCAACGTCCCACTTGACTACGCCAAAGTGGGCAATTCATTCGGCGACTTGCACGGTCGCCCTC